CTCTTTTGCACTAAGCATAACAAAACCATGCAGATTTCCCCTGCTTCCCTTTGTGCCAGCCCCTCCTGCGGCCTGGGACTCCTTTCTGCCAGGGAAGTGACTGCTCAACTGTTGAGCCTCAGCTGAGATCGAAGATGTCACCTGACTCTTTCTGACACCAACAGTAACACTTGCTGACTTTCTCCTCTTTGCCCCCTTGGCCCCTTTGCAGATTTCTATCAGGCACATACAATCCCTTATTGCACGTTTCTGTTTACATGCTTGTTACCCCATCTCTGACTATCAGCAATGTCAATCATTCAACAAATACTCACTGAAAGTGTAATGTGTATTCAACATTGTGAGGGGCATGGGGACACATGACAGGCACAGTTACCGTCTTTTTGAGGCTTAGAGTTGAGTTGGAGGAGACAGATGTCAAAAAAAAACAATTACACAATTAATTAACGAAATGCAATCATAAAAAGTGCTTCAAAGGGAAAATGCAGGACTTAAAAACATCCAGAAAAGTTCTTATTTTTCCTCATATCCCTAAAGTTTTGCGTGATCCTTGGTATATCTTAAGTGCTAAATAAATGTTGTCAACTGAATGAATAAACGAGTAAATGAATGAATATGCAAATATTTCCAAAATGGTAAAAGTTTAAGTCTTAAGAAATTATAGAGCTATAAGATTTATACCAATCTTTAGCAATATACTCAAATGGAATTTTGAGAAAAATGTTATAAGCCCATAGAAAAAAATGAGTTATCTAGAAACTACAATGGTTGTATTAATAGCAAGGAATTCCAGATAAATTACGTGGTTTCCCATAGTGAGACAAGGAGACTGGACTGATACATGTATCCATCCATTCCACAAATATTCATTAAATACCTATTTGTGTCTATTAGGTGCTGGCACTTAATAGGCAAGGTACCTGCTTTCCTGGCACTTACATTCTGGTGCAGGAACTTGGAGAAGCAAACAACAAACAAGTAAGCCAAAACAAACAAACAAGATTCTGGTTTGTGGAAGGCACCACAAAGAAAACAAAAGCACATCATATAACCGTGGGTGAACGGTTGGTGCACAGGAAGTGGGGTAGGTGACTTGAGAGCGGAGATCAGAGAGGACTTCTCTGAAGAGATGGCATTAGAACTGGCAATCACATTGGCCAAAGGAGCTAACCATGTAAATTTTGGGGAAAATTGTTTTGTGCCTAGGGATCAGAAAGTGCAAAGGCCCTGAGGTAGAAAAAGTCTGCCATGTTTCAGAAACATGAAGAAGGCCTTTACGGACAGAGAAGTAAAAAGAAGTTGAATAAGTAGGCATGGAACACTCAATAAGGAATTTTACTTGCCAGTAAGGAGTTTCAATTTTATTTTAAGTGAAGCAGTCAGGAGAATGATATAATTATATTTTTTATTTATAAAGATCACTTTGGCTACTGCACAGAAAATGAATTTGGGGAGATAGTGTCATGGAGCAGGAACTCTAGGTAGGAAGCTATTGAAATACTCTAGGTGAGTACTGACAGAGGTGTCTACTCAGGAAGGCAGGAGAAGTACCTGAATTTAAGATGTGTTTTGGAGCCAGGAACTGGTAGAGCAACTATGAACTATAGATAAATTGATTAGGAGTAGAGGTTCTGGGAAAGAAGGAATCAAGGCTGCTCCCTAGGTTTTTGCTCTAGGAAGTAGATGAATAGCAGTGCCATTTACTGAGATAGGGGACATGTGCATGAGTAGGTATTCAAGAGTTCTGCTTTTGCTATATTAAACTTTAGATGTTTATTATAGTTTCAAGTGGAGATACCAAGGATATTGTATATATAATTCTAGAAGTCAGGCCAGGAGGTACAGATATGGAGGTGATCAGCATACACATGATATTTAAATTTGTGGAATGCTATAAATTCAGCTAGGCATAGAGTACAGATGGAAAGTAGAAGTCCTGAGACCAAGCCCTGAGAATGAGGAGAGGTAACAAGTGAGACAGAAGGGAAAGCCAGGGTTTTATAAAGTGGAAACAGCTAATTGAACCAAATACTACTGAGAGGCTGAGTGAAGAGAGAAAAATGAAGTAACCATTTGATTTGGCTACATGGGGATCACTGGTGGTCTTGATGGAGGTAGTTTCTATAGAGCATTCTGCATTACTGAGGGCTTCCCTGAAGAAATAGAACCAGCAGGTTGTATATATATATAGAGAGAGATTTATTGCAACAAATTGGCTTATGGGATTGTAGGGGTTGGCCAGGCAAGTTTGAAATCCGTAGGGCAGGCTGTCAGGAGGAGCAAGCTGGAAACTCTCTGTCAAGAGCCAAGGCTGCAGTGCACAGGTAGAATTACTTCTTCCTTGGGGAAACCTCAGTTCTGCTCTTAAACCTTTCGACTGAATCAGGCCAACCCAGATTATCAAGGATAATCTCCTTCACTTGAAGTCAAATGGTCACAGCTGTTAACCACATCACAGCAACACCTAGATTAGTGTTGGGTTAGATAACTGGGGACTATAGCCTAGCCGGCTGACACAGTAAACTGATCACCACATGTCAGGGAGGTGAGCTGGGAGAGACAGGAACTAAAGCCACGTTTTGGAGAGAAGCTAATCCGGGAAGAGGAGGGCAGAGGAGAAGAGGAGATAGCTGAGGGCCCAGCCTCCATGCAGGGAGAGCCATCCCCTGAACAGGCTCCTGCAGGAGAAGAGGAGATAGCTGCTAAACAGGGCCATAGGGCTTTTGGGTTGTTGCTTTGTTTAATAGCTTATACAGCAAAATTTTATGTTTATAGGCATGACTCAGTAAAAATGGAGATAAGATGATGTTGAGAGAGTTTGGGGTCCAGATGACATGCTCAGGCATTGGTTTTAGATAGAAACTGAGAGACCTGTTCTTTTTTGCCTAAGGGAAAAAGCACCAAGGCCCCAGGACTGCTACTGAAGATGACAGACTGCCAGCTGAGGATCATTACAGAGAAGGATGTTCTGTGTCCAACAGCTCCCCAAGGTGGTTCACTTCCCACCACTCGCATTATTTACCTGAGGCTTATTTTCCCCTTAGAGGATGCACTCACTAGATGTGGAAGTTTCCTGGAGAGGACGCCACATAGGACTGGGCTACCTCAAAGGCAAGAGCTCTCAGGTGGGCCTAGAATTGCGCTATAGCAGATCTGTGAACTTCCTAATATTATAGATGAATTTGCATGGTACTGTGGGCACTTTTCTTAAGAGGTTCCCTTGCTGCCATCAGATTCTCAAAGGGGTCCATCACCAGAAAGAGATAAACATGTTGCTCAAAAGTCTCTTTGAACCCTACAGTCTATTATTTAACTTGATGCTACGAGTTTTTCTGTGCAAGCATAAGAACAATGGGCATTAAAAACAAGGATAATACTGGCCCAGTGGTGTAGTGGTTAAGTTCAGTGCACTCTGCTTTGGCAGCCTGGGTTCAAGGGTTCAGATCCCAGTCACGGACCTACACCACTCATCAAGCCATGCTGTGGCAGTGACTCACATACAAAATAGAGGAAGGCTGGCACAGATGTTAGCTCAGGGACAATCTTCCTCAAGCAAAAAGAGGAGGATTGGCAACAGGTGTTAGCTCAGGGCTAATCTTCCTCACCAAAACAAACCAAGGATAACTGACAGGATTGAGAGAAAACAAAAGTATAAGGACATGTTAAAGAGTAACAGGATTATTACAACAAAATAGATGGCTGAAGTAATAATATAAACAAACTTTTTATTTCAGCAGGAAAGCTTCATGTTGTACTTAAAAATAAACCTCCTAGTTGTGACAACTATTACCAAGAGAAGAGGTAACCGGAGAACCTAGACCCCCCAGAGATCCTGGGATGGGAAGCATATACCCTTGTAGGTGTTCTTTGCTTTGTGATGTAAGGGCCAGAGTGGAGGGCAGTGTCCCCTTAGCCTACTGGTTTGATGATGCATCTGTTCTAAAGCACATTCTTTCTGAAAGTTCCTGTTCAAGATAAAGACAGTGGTTTCACAGGTAAATCTCCTCTGTGCAGGACTTTATTTTTAGTAGACACTCTATGTCCATAGTTTCCCTGGGAACCTTGTTACCACTCAGTTCTCTGGGTCCCTATCCCCAGAAATCATAATCTAGTATGTATGGGACAGGGCTAGGGAAATGCATTTTTAAGGAGCAGTCCAGATGATTCTGATATAGGCATTCACTTGATCACACTATGAAAAACAGTGCAGGCATGTGGTCCCTGAGGCATTCCTGTGTCCAAATCATTGACCTAATTTATATTAAAGTGATAGTGATCAAATTTGTTCATTCATTAGGGGTCATTAGGTTTTAGAATATAAGTAGGATATGTCACTGCTAAGGCAGAAAAACACTTTATTATGATGCAATTTTATATTTAAATATAAAACCTTCAGGGGAGAATTACAGGGATGGGAACCTTTCCTGCATAATTCTCACCATATTCTAGAATGATTGCCAGTTCTACCATGTCTACAACCTTCCTTGTATGCAAGATGGAGCTTTTAAATTCAGTACAAACAACTCACAAATGAATGGATGGCTAGCATAATTCCAGCAGAGAAGCATTCCATGAGTTACATGGGGTGGAAATGCTCCTTCTCCTCCTCTTGTACAGCAAGTAAACAGGGAGAACTTTTTCCCTTCATGGTTCTAAGGGAGGGGAGAATATTATAATACCTCAGCTCACTTCTACGAAAGAACTGAGCTTAAATTATTCTTTTACAAGGACAAATGGTAGCTCAAACTCGAAGAACTCTTAATTTTGAACTTTTTTAAAGTTTTCTTCATCTTATCACCTCCAAGCTCTTTCATCTCTAAATAAGAGTTTTTATACCTCCGGGTTGAATTTCACGTTTTCAAATATGCATAAGTTGTTAAAGTCTAGAAAGAACTTTAAAATAATCGAGATCTCCATTCTCAATGCAGATCAACTGACAGAGTGTGGATAGTGCCACTCACAATCGCACACCAGTGTTGATGGTTCGTGTGGGTACTTACTATAGGAGCATCCGTAGACTTCAACTCTCATGCCAATCTTCCCACTTGGATTCCATTCCAGGGGCACAAAGCGAACAAACCGGGCTCTCACTGAGTGCAGCAGCTTGTGGTGCATTACGCTGTCAGCATTCATGTTTCCTGCAAAGGTCTGCGGAGAGACGAGGAGGCCCAGTGAGGTCTGTGATACCATGGCATCTCCCTCACTTGCCAGAGCTCAAGGAACACCAATGGAAATTCACATTTGTTACTCACAAAGTCTTTCAGAGAAAAGCCTCAATTTCTCAGATATTTCAAATGAAATTTAACTCGTGAAAATTTTGCCTTATGTGTTATATTTTTTCAGAAATACTGTACATTATTCCTTAAGAATCTCCCCCCTCCCCATTTTATGAATAAGTCAATCTTAGGAGGTCATAAGACAAGACACCTAAGAACTTCACAAAGTAAATAATACAGTGAAGTTCTGACATTCCTAATGTTCATAATGACTGTGGTATGGGAGATAACTGACAATCTCCTCTAGAAGGAAAGGCTTTTATTGAAGTAATTGTACCATTAATTGAGGCCAGTCACTACTCTAAGCACTTTTTATTATCACATTACCATTTTACAGATAAAAAACTGAAGCCAAGAGAGGGAGGGAGAGAAAAAAATCTTCAAATTACCCAATTGGTTAGTAATTGGTCTGAGATTCAATTCCAAGGTTGTCCTATTCCAAAGCCCGTGGTTTTTCTATAGCCCCACACTCTCCAACTATTCCACTGTTGTTATAAGAGGGAGAATAGGAGGCTCCAATTTTTATGTAATTCATTTTCACATTTCCTTGTGAAGTTTAAACAAAGGAACACACAGCACGGGAGCTATTTGGCACATTAAAATTATGCCTCCTAGCCTTCATTCAAGTGAATGATTTCTGGAGTAGAAATTTTCCTGCAGATGGAATGCAAAATCTCATACCTAGTCTCTTTTTTTTTCCATTGGGGTGAAATATGCATAACATAAAATTAACCATTTTAACCATTTTATATAGTTCAGTGGCATTATGTATATTCACATTGTTGTGTACCCATCACCACTACCCATCCCCAGAACTTTCTCATCATCTCAATCGTACCTAATCTTTAAGATAGGATGTCAACTATCAAGCTGATTTGCTTGCTTTATTGTGAGTCATCATTTGTCTTCTTTTCTGACTCAAGTGTTCATAGATAAAGCCTGCTTGCTAATGTGTTATCAATGCCAACCAATAAAAAGAAGATCCATTGGTTTCTCAAATGGCCAAAGTGAACACCAAGTAAAGGATTTTATCTCTTTAGTAGAATCCATTTTCAAAGATGCAAACCTCAACTTTGATTGTATCCCCACAATACCTGTGAATCTAGGGTATCTTGAACAATCTGACATTTCTGCTGCACACAATACACCCACTGGCTAATAACTCTGACATTAGGCAATTGATATCCTCACTATTATGTATCGTAAAATGCCTTATGAAGAAGGAAGAAGCTTACTTCCAACTTTGCAGCTACATTTGCAGCAAAACTCTTGGGTAAGAGAAAGACTTGGTGGAGAGGAATTCCTCAAGATTCAAATTTAGCATTCCAGTCCGCAGATTTGTCAAAGGTTTGGTTATTTTCTCTTCACCCATAAGAGAACAACTTTATTTGGCAGGCTTGTTATTCCACATGTCCTCTTCCCAACTTTAGCAACTGACACAGGTGTAAAACTTCCTCAATCCCTTGCTTACTTAGGAAGGACTCTTATCTGCGGAGTTTAGTTCTTTGTAAAAGTTACTTGTGTCCATACTTCTTTGATATACGTGTGCATGAGTGTTTATGTGTGTGAGTGTGTGTGTATGGAGGAGGTTCTGGTGCTTTCTCATTGTTTTGGATGGAGTGAAGGCATTTCGTGTTTTTCTACAACCTAACTGGGGAGCCTTCCATTCATTAGTCTGGATTCCCTCCTAATCATGTGTGCTAGCACCCACCTCCCCAGGCATGTGAAGTCCCTGGGTCTGTAGCATCACTCATCTAACTGAACTTTTAACAGGACCATACTCACAATGAGGGAGATGAGATGTCCTCTCCTGTTGTCCATGTAATTTGTAGACTGAGTATATTATAAACTGATATTGAAATCCTCACTGTAAAATTTCAGATAAAAGGTTTATGTTGTGATCTTGGAATCCTTTATAGGATCCCTTAACTCATGTATTGTGTACTGTGATGAGAGAATCCTGGATTCTCATCAAAGGGGGCAGCATCCTGGCATGATTATGTGACACTTGGCAAGCAACTTAATCTTTCTGAGTCTCACTATCTTGCAGTCTTGTGATCTCAAAGTCTCACAGTCCCAAAGTTCTGCTATCCCAGAGTCATAACATTTGCAATTTCATAGTCTCACAGGCTCACGTTTGAGCAGACCCAAGGTCTCAAAGTTTTGAGATCTCAAAGGGCCCATGGAGCGAGCTGACTAAAATCACCTTAGAAACACTTAAAGCTATAGGCAGACTGAGTCTAAAGGAAGCTGCAATCAAATTCTCACCAAGTTGACCAGTTCCTCTTCTCACAAGATCAAAGACAATCATCCCCTAGCAATGCAGGAAGTTATAGGCTGGGATGAAAGAGAGGAAAGATCTCCTAACTCTCTAAGTGCTTGAATTTTGAGGCCCTATTAGGTGCATTTAAGTTACCACCACCCAACGCCAGCTCAATTGTTGAAGATAAAAATTAAATGGTAATGATAACGACAGCTGACTTCTCACAAGAAACAATAGAGACCAAAAACAAAAAAAAAAATGCTGAAAGTAGGAAATTGTCAACCTAGGAAAAAAAAACCTAGCATTCTATAGCAAGCAAAAATAGCTTTCAAATCTGAAAGAATAATAAACACAGTTTCATTTAAACAAAAGTTGAGGTAATTTATTACCTACAGACCCTCATTGTTAAGAATTGCAAAATAAGTCCAACAATCTGAAGAAATTGATGACAGAGAATTTTCAGTGTACAGGAAGAAATCAAGAACACTCAAAATGGTAAATATGTGGATAAATATAAAAGACTATTTTTCTTTCTTTTCTTAAACATTTAAAAAGTAAATTCATAGCCTAAAGGAAAAATAATAGTGTATTGTGATGTTTTTGACATATGTAGAAGTAAACAGGTAACATTAAAACCACAAAAGCTGGGATATAGGATAAATAGAATTATACTGTTATAAGGCCCTGACATTATATATAAAGTGATATCAATTTGAGATAAACTTCAATAAGTTAAGGATATAAAAAAATAAACAAAAGAAGTATAGCCACAAAGCCAAATAAAAGATAAAAGATGGAATAATAAAAAACAACAATAACAAAAAAAACCCAGCAACAACAATCCTGGTTTAATACAAAATAAGACAGGAAATGATAAACAAAAGAATAAATAACAGAGGAGAAAAATAAAAAATAAATTTCAAAATAGTAGACTTAAACTTACCCAACTGATAATTACGTTAAAAGAAAATTAAGTAAAAACTCCAATTAAAAGGCAGAAATTGTCAGCCTTGACAAAAAAAGCAAGGCTTGTCTATATGCTTTTTATATGATACTGTTTTTCAATGCTAAAGATGTTGACAGGTTGAAAGCAAAAGGATGGGAAAGATATTTCATGCAAACAGTAGGCATCACAAACCTGCACTTCCTCTATTAATGTCAAAGTAGGCTGTATTACAAGATATGAGAGAATTTTAAAAATTATAAAGTGTCAATTCATCATGAAGACATAAAAAAAAACCCCTGTATATATGCACCTACAACAGAGATTCAAAATACAAGAAAGAAAATGTGACAGAAGCAAAAAGAGAAAAAGAAACAAATCCTCAATTGTAGTTGGTTTTTAATATCTTCCCTCAGTAATTGATTGAATAAGTGGAAAAAAGTCAGTAAGAATATAGAAGATTCAAACAACATTCTCAGGGAAATTGGCCTAATTAATGTTCATAGAATACATCACTGAACAACTGCACATTATACATTGTTTTCAAGAGCTAGTGGAATATTCACTAAGAGACCATATCCTAAACGATAAAGTAAGTCTCAATGAAACCATTCAGTTTATTTTCTAACCACAATCAAATTGAATTAGTAATTAATAATAATATGTTATTTAGAAAACCCTCAGATATTTGTTAATAAACACACTTCTCAATAATCCACAGGTCAAAGAAGAAATCACAATGGAAACTAGAAAATAGTTTGAGTTGAATGATGATAAAAATACTGTATCAAAATTTGCAGAATACAGCCAAAGCAGTCCTTAGAAGAAAATTTATGACTTTAAATGCTTTTTTTTACATAAGAGGAAAGATATAAAATTAAAAATCTAAGCTTCCACCCCAAGAAGATAGAAAAAGTGAAAATTGAACTCAGAATATTAGTAGATTGGAATATTACTCAGCAATAAAAAATAAGAATCTACTGACACCTGCAGCAAACATTATGTTAAGCAAAAGAAGCCAGCCATAAAGAGTACATACTGTATGATTCTATGCATATGAAGTTCTAGAAGAGGCAGAACGAAGTTCTGATGATAGAAATCAGATCAGTAATTTTCTTGATGATGGAAGGCAAAAAATGACTGCAAAGAATGTTCCTTCAGTTCATTTGATCATAATATCCTTTTGAGGTAGGAAATCTGTATTATCTTCATTCTAAAGATGAGAAAACTAAATTTTGGAGCATTTAAGTGGGGTCATAAGTCATAAATCAAAAATTATCAAATGGGACTACATTATAGAAATTCTGATTAAAGTCCAGTGACCCTTTTATTTCACTCTCATTATCACCCTCAAATGTCAGGTTTCTGAAACCAAATAATTGCTGTAGCACAATAATAGCCACCATTTTTGAGAGTCCCTTCCACACCAGACACTTGCTAGGCTCTCTGCGTATTTTAGTTCACGTCACTCCATTGATCATCAGAAAGGTTTTAGCCAACTTCCTCACTAAAGGAAGCACCCCCACCCACACACCCACACATGTATATTTAACCTTTCTGAATTTGCAATACATCTTACAATGGTGTGCCCAGTTAACATAGTGTTCCCCACTATAGTGTTCATTGGGAGACCCTGGGAATCAGAGAAGTTAATTCTGAACAATAT